TACTTCCAAACCTTCTGCAATAGTGGTGTCAGCGTGTCCGCCGTTGGCTCTGCGTCTGTTTTCAGTGCTTCTAGTGGAATTCCATCTGGTCCTGCTGCTTGCTCAGCTTTCAGCAACTCTATGGTGTTCAGGACTACACTTCTGCTTTTGTTGGAGGGCTTGTGTTCACTGGTAGTTCTGTGGCTGGGCTACTGGTGGTATTTCTGGACGAGTTGCAGTTGGTGTTGGTCGATTCAACAGCTTTTTGAAGTGGTCAGCCCATCGTTTCCTTTGTTTCTCCACTTTGCTAACTAGGTTTCCTTTACTGTCTCTCATTGGTTTCATCTGAGTTGACCTCTTCCCAGATAGAAACCTGGTTATTTGATGTAGTGTTATCGGGTATCTATCTCTTCTACCTGCAGCCTGGTCTGCTTCACCTGCAAGTGTGTCGTAGAAGTGTCTTTTGCCTTTCCGCGCACTCTTCACTTCTTTGTCCAGTGTTGTGTTTTATACGTTGTACTCAGTTCTTCTTTTCGTTGTGCATCCTTGCACTGCACTGGTTCATCTTCTGCTTCACCATCTTCCTCTCCCTCCTCTATTAGCTTCCATGTATCCGTGGAGATCCATTCCTTGCCTTATCCTGTTTCCTCTTCCTTCCTAACACGCTTGTGCAGGTCTCCTTCCACTTCGCTTTCACAGAGTTCCAGTGTTCTTCCACACAGGTTTCCTCGGGGATGTTGCCTAATGTCTCCCATTTTTTCCTGATCACTGACATGAAGATGTCCCTTGTAGTTTCTGTTCTGCGTGCTGAGCTTGGACTGTGGTCTATCATCACCAGCTTCTTTCTAGGCTTTCAACTTGATTTTCAAAGTAGGTTCCTTGGACTAGATAGTGAGTGGTGTGAACCACCTACATCTGCTCCCCTTCTTGGTCTTGTGTACAGTAGGCTGCGTTTCCACTTTCTTCACATCAAGATGAAGTCGATCTGATTTTTAGTGTGTCCGTCTGGTGAAATCTAATCCATATCACTTTTCTGTTCTATTCTTTGATTCAGAAGTCTCTACATTGAAAACGCTTATTAGGCATTCAAAAAGATGGTTTAAGCGAAAACAGTATCCGATAAAATCTTTCATGTTTAAATCAAGCACCTCAGAGTCGTTCCGTAAAAATCAATAAGTTCTAGCAGGTGGGGTACTCTGACAATTACAATATGGTAGATATATAGTTGCCAAGATAGTAAGGAAGATCTTTATGACAATCAAATCAAGTAAACCGAAAACAGCAACAAGAACAACAAATTAAGTAGGACGAAAACACAACGAAATGCCTTGAATGTATGGTTGAAGACAACCAGTAGTAAGCCTTAAGGGCGTTGGTCGCCTCCATGTCATTACTTTTCAATAGGGTTCAGATGTAATATCAAGAAAACTTATTCTCCTCAGGAACTTGAAGTCACTTGGCGTAAACGTGAACAGCACAACAACAAGCGAAGCAGGATAATACTAACTTATCCTTAACATTTCGAGGATTCTTCTCAAGTGATTACAACCTAAATATCAAAATGTATGCATGATTTTATCAAGTTTGACATGAAGTCGCTGACAGAATCACCCGGCAACGTAGGTCATGAGGAATATAACTAACTGGCTAAAGTATGAATCTTTGGGAGTATGAGAAATTGACTATTCACAGAATTATTAGGTGAATATTCTTAGAAGAGAAGGTTGAGAGGTAAATGGAAATACCAGTCAACTAGGAATAGAAAATAATTATCACAGCGAGGAATAAGTTCCTTTTTATTTTTTATAATTTCTTTTTGCTTTGAAGTTTCTTTAGCGATTGGATTGGCTTTATGGGGTAGGGTTGCTTTCTCTATACCCAACCTCCCCTGTTTATTCGGGCTTACGATCGGCTAGTAACTAGTGAACTAGTTTCCTAGGCGAGGTTACGAATTGAAGATGATGCAGGAGTATTGACCTAGAGATGAGCAAAAAGATTAGAAGGTCAGGATCTGAATAGTTGATAATGATGTGCATGAATTTGAATGCTGATCATCATCATCATCATCATCATCATCATCATCATCATCATCATCATCATCATCATCATCATCATCATCATCATTATCAACATAGGACCAGGCATTACTGCGTAACGGTCCGAGTTGCCACACCTCATATCAGCACATCAAGTAAAAAGGTAGTGAGGTGAAGGATGAAGATAAGTGAATGCAGTCAAAAGAAATATAAAGTACGAGAAGAAAGGAAAGAGGAGTGACAAAATAGTGAGATTCGGTATAGCGTTGTTAAGATGAGGATAATGTGTGTATACATCTGCGCCACTGACTTCGGTTCTGAGCCATATCACCTAGGGTCTCCAACCACTGGTTCCTCTTGTCCCGTGGACCCCAACCACCTAGTCTGCATCGTCCTACATGGCTTAAACCAACAGTCAGAGACTTCATACATTGGTGCCATGTTTTGGTGTGGCCACCTCGGGCCTTTTTCCAACCTGGACCCACCTCAGCCAACATTGTGTGACGAGGCAATCGGTGACTAGGCATACGTAGTACGTGTCCCAACCATCTCAGTCGATGAAGGTTCACAATCTCGTCAACTGACTTACCTCTTCTCCCCGAAACTCTACACCTAACTTCTGCATTACTCACATGGTGACACCACGGAATACGTCCTATACTACGAAGGCAATGGTGGTCAAACACCTGAAGCCTTTTTGTATCCTCTACCTTCAATGGCCATGTTTCACAGCCATATAGTAAAACAGAGCGGACTGCTGTGCAGTACACGCGACCCTTAATAGACAAACGAATATCACGGCAGCGCCATAGGCGGCGCAAATTGGCAAAAGCCAATCTAGCCTTTTGTATCCGTGCAGAAATCTCGTCGGCAACTAACCCACCGGGGTTGATCCTACTTCCCAGGTAAGTGAAGTGGTCAACACATTCAACCATTCACCCCGACCGATAGCTGCTACCTTGACGTGGTGGTCGGGCTTGCATATCACAATGACCCAACGAGCTATGCTGGTGGAACGCTTGTTCCCTCGAGGTCCTACCATACCAGAAAGGTCTGTTGGGTAGTGGTTAGACGAAAAGCAGTTACCGTTATAGTGTAAATTGCTACACTATGATGGGGGTCTGAGGGCGAAGTCGTACTGCTGCTAGCTGGATGGGGTGTGACAGCAGTAAGGTGTTTCCCTTGGATGACCAGCAGTGCCAAGCTGATGCTGCCTTCTCAGTGGAAGGGGGGTTAGAAAAGGTCGGCCCCAAAAATAACACACTCCACCACGCCCCACGGTCTGCCGGGCCGGCGGTGTTGGTTCACTTGTCGTTTCCTTTCGACCATCCGGCCCCAAAAATACAAAAGTTCAAAATAATCATACTCAAAAGGCTGGGTGTGACAGGCCTCAAGCAGATGTCCGATGGGCTCTGCGGTCACACAAATCTCTTTCAGGTACCTTAAGAAGAAATAGCCTTCCACGGTGTGGGCAGCCGGGAAGTGTCAACCGCCCTCACAACTCTGTCAGCACCCAAGTTTCTTCTGACTGCTATCCTCCTCCTCCATCATTACCTTCTAATCTTCCTTCACGTCTCTTAATTAATGATGCTGCATCATCTTCAATTTCTCCTACCTCTGCAGCCTTCGACAACGATCTGAGTCCACAGAACAGCATCCCTGGTCTCCTTAAACCACGCTCCAAATTACATATTGGAGCCTTCAATGTCCGCACCCTCCGTCAAATTGGCCAACAGGCTTCGTTGGCAAAGACTCTAGCAACTCGGGCATGGATGTGTGCTGTGTTTGTGAGACACGCATACAGGACCCAAGTGTGGTTATTCACCTGACCTCTCCTGACCAATCTGGTGAATCTGCAAAATTCACCCTTCGAGTTTCTGGAGATTCGATAGCTAGCTCTCGTGGTCTTGCAGGTGTAGGTATAGCATTAAGCACCAGGGCAGAAAACTCACTACTAGACTGGATCCCAGTTGATAGTCGCCTCTGCGCTATGAGGCTGAACGGCACAGTGAGAACTAAAAGGAATAGTGAGACTCGCCGTTGTCTCTTTGTAATCTCTGCTTACGCACCCACTGACTGTAGTTCGGATGAAGTGAAGGACGAGTTCTACCATAAACTGTCTAACCTCCTCTCGAAAGCCAAACGTTCGGACGTAGTGGTTGTTGCAGGTGACCTCAACGCACAGGTGGGTAGACTGAGTGAGGCAGAAAGGCACTTAGGTGGCACTTTCGGAATCCCAGCTGAACGTACAGATAACGGTGATCGCCTATTACAACTATGCTCAGATAACCGCCTATTTTTAGCCAGCACAATGCTGAGGGAGTTGTGAGAGCGATTTCCACTTCCCGACTTGAAGTACGTAAAAAGGGCTTAGTTATGGTGGTGCGTGGTCACAGAAAGCAAATAACTTCTGCTAGAGGCAGGTCACAGACAGTTTGAATGTAAGCTTGATATTAATTCTCTTTAAATCCGGAAATATGTCCAAACAAGCGATTCTGGAAGAAGGCAGAATACAAGAGAGTGGGCTTTTTTGAAACAAATCTTTTCTAACCGCCATCGCTTCCCATATGGAAGGCAAAATGAGCATGGCACTGCTGGTCATTCGTAAGAAACGGCTTACTACCGCCACACCCCTGTCCATTCAGTAGTATGAATCTCGCCCCTGGCCCTCATTATAGCGTAGTATGTTACACCACAGCGGTAACTGGTTTTTGTCTTACCACTATCCAAACGAAAACGTGCCTCACTAAAATAGCCTGCTGGGTCATCGTACGATGCAAGCCCAACTGAGATAATAAGATAGCAGCCATTAGTCGGGATCCTTGCAAACTAATGCAGCTTTGGTTAACTGTTCGTGTCGTAATGATAATTGCCATTCAAAAAACCTTTAGGACAACATACAAGCAATAGTCCTGATGATAAACGTTTGCTTATCAATAGCGAATACTTGAAGAATAACACTAACAAATTATGTATATAACTTACGAATTTACGCTTATTTTCTGCCTTCATTTGGAAAATACTAAGTTTTAATTCAGAAATCTCTTTGCGCAGTTTAACAACTAGGCATTCCGCCTGAATGCGTCTATCTTCGATCTGAAATTTATTTAGACAAATAATCCAACTTTTAGACTTATACCACTACATGTATAGACGTAAGATAGTGGGGTGAAGCACGACAAATCTAAAGTTGTGGTTTTTATTGGTAGTTAGTTGAAGTACAAAAAAGGACACTTTGAAGTCAATCTAGAAACCCAAAAGATAACAAAAATACGCATAAAATACCGCAACCTATGTTTAAATCGGTTTCTTGGGAGGCAGATATTTTCAAATATAATGAGCGTGATAAAAAACGATAATTTACGTGACATTCCTTACACCATAAGATGAACACGGTACTAGAATATATCTCCTTAACACTGAAATTGTGAGTGTTATTTTTTCATGATGTCACATACCATAAGAGGTAGAAAAACAGATATGCAAGAAGCAAAATGTTTTCAAAGATTTTAATAGTTCTCAGTTGGCATAATCATAATCACCACACTGAAGTCAAGTGAAAACGGAACATGAACAATATACCAGTGGTAGAAATCAAAAATTATAATGGTACATGAAAAGATATTGGAAATGACATAAAAATACGGAAAAAAGGGGGAAAGTACCATTACCTTCATACAACACCCACTAGTTGTTAATTGACATTTTTGTTCGTCTCCAAAACATCACATAAACCTCTAAAAACTATAGGGTTATGACCAACAATTAGGGCACTAAACAAAGACAAAAAGTGAAATCAACGAAAAAAGGGATTACCACAGACGAACGTCGGTTCAATTGATCAGTGAACCATGTTGCCACCGGTTCAATGCCTAAGCCTGACAAATGCCCAGTATCACCTCATACTGATTGGTGCCTTCTCCATCTCTTCCACTTCTCACTTCGCTTTCACCAACCACAACTGGCTCATGGCTATCACGAAGACTCTCATTCAATTCACCTTCCAGCTGCTCTCATCTCTCGTCGTGAAGACAGCCAGCTGGAATCAGTCTTCTCACACCAATCAGTTGGCATGATGCTGTGGAAATCCACTGGCTTTCACTAGCTAACCTATGCATCTAGGTGGCCGACTGTCTTCCCGACTGTTTCCACACCACACTCCATATTACGCGGGCTTCCTTCATCCCGATGACAGTTGCCACCATCTTCACATAAGTGCTTGCTGCTACCTTCTAACTGAATGCAAACTTCGTGTTCTCATCTTCTTAGCCGAGCACAGACTCACTCTCCTCAACCAGCTGCCATCCATGTACACATGTTTTAAACTGCCTCACTCACTAGTCAAATCACTCAGAGATTGCACATTTCTTGCATCTTCCTGTGATGCTTAGACACACAAAACCGATACGAAAACAATTGCTTCGATGCACACACAGTACAATAGTGTAGCTGTAAGAAGAGAGACAGATCAATGTAGAAGCTGGCACAAATAGGAAAGCGTGTCGGTTCAACTCGAGACAACATTTCACACCAGCCGGCAAGGAAGAAGTGGAGAAGAAAGAAGACTGCATCTTGTCAGCGTCCTCACGTAAGACGACAATGTCATCGGTGTATCCATCGTCAGTGAACCAGGCGACTTCTGAGAAGTCCCAGTCACTTCGTGTTATCTCCATCACCACATCTACAGGCAATTTAGAGCAAAATGCTAATAGTAGACATCCTTGGTCGACGCTGCGTGTTGTCGTTGTTGAAGACGACAACTCGTCGTAAGCCCTTACACAGCTGTCTGATTTCCAGTAGACAACCTTACTTAGCATAACATGCTTGCTCACACACACTACAAGTTGTCGGTCAGTGCCGTGGAATGCCGCCTTTGTGTATGTATTGTGAGGCACTACTGATTATTCCTGCAAGCAGGAGGCGACTACAAGTACGCACCGACGAGAATTTTGTTGTTGAACGGCAGTAACAGATTTATTTAGTTAGATAATAGGCGAATAGTTATGCTTTGGTTCGTAGTCCATGTGTATTTCCACTACGCAACTTAAAGAGCTAATATCAAATACGGCTTTGTTAATTTTTGGCTATTTCACAGTTTTGTTTTGCTGAAGTTGACAACGCGTTGAGGTTAGGAGTGGTTTGGCATGCTTAGTATATATCCACTCTCTAGTCAACTGACACATAGTTGTTGCATAGTAAACCACACGTTAACTCTGTATTGTTAGTAAGTGACAAAAGATCTCATACTAAAATGTCGAAAGCAGTCATTAAAGCATATGCTTTGTAGGACCTGGAACGAATGAACGGTTCACAAACTCATGTCAGGGAAAAACTTGGGCACTGTGATTAGGTATAATTCCATATTAGGTTGTTTAGCTTGAAACATAATACGGTAAATTATATTGTGTCAAATGAACAATGTAATACGGTTCATGAATTTGTCTGAAAGTTGCCCTGGGAAATCAATTTCTTACGTTGCTACACAATCCTTCGTGGATTATCTTGAAAAATACCGCTGTTTCAAACTTTTCGATAATCTTAAAATACGTCGAATTCTCAATTTGGCCTCACGAACACGCTGAATGTCTTTTTAATTTGCAAACTCACCCAGAAAAAGCTTGCATAAGTTTAGATTTTCACTGCATTAGTAAACAGCTAAAGTAATACTATTGTTCTTCAGTCTTTCAATACACATCAACGATTCGTAACTAGTGTGTAACAGATGAAAGTTTGCCATCAGGTCAACTCAGGGAATTGTCTTACAGACCCAGTGGTTCTATCTGGAGATCTAAATAAGCAGGTTCGGTGTTTAGGTACAAAGTTTTTTGATGGCCAACAAGATCAGCTTCTGCAGTTTCATAAAGACCACAGTCTATTTTAAGACAGTACCAACTTTTGAAACAGCGGTCGAATATGAGACTCCGCATTTTTCCAGTGTTACAAATACTGACCAGTTGGGTGTGACTGGTTTTTAGAAAAACAGCTATCCTCAGGAATTCACGGACAAAGTCAAAAGGAAGCCAGCAGAAGCAACTAGATCCAACTATCTTGGGAAGAAACTGGTGTTTTTTATTTTCTACTTTCAGAGGTAACAAGCTGATGAACAAGAATAATAGAACAATGGGAAATGACTCTCGACAGCTAAGTTAGTTTCCCCAAGTTAAAAGAAGTGTTCACTACAACAATCTAAAATCGATCGATAGCCGGGTTATGTCACCTTGTATCCAAAAATCCACGTGTACACACCAAAGTATGCTTAATGGCAGGACAGACTAGACGGTTGAGACTCGTTTCCATGAAAATATTTCAAAAATCTTTTGCATAAAGTGGACAAATACTACACAACACCCACATCTCCAGTACATTTAAAATAATTGCAAAAAATAACATCAATTTACCCAAATTTGCAGAAACGACTGTTGCCAGAGGGATTTAACTTGTGTATTTAAAGAGGGGTAACTGTAAGCCTCCAATATTCACAGTCACGACTGACTTATTTTGCTAAAGAACAAACTCTCACATTTGTTGGAGCTTAGTCCTCTCCCAAAAAATGATTATCCAACCAATTTTTATTTTACCTGCAATATTTCATATTCAGATACAAAACTATCAGACCTTAGCCTACTCTTAAACCTTGTACCTATATAGTTAATTTATGTACTTTCGTTATCTTTCCCTTTCGATTTCTCAAATATAGTAAAATAATAGTCCGACTACAAAATGAGAATATGAACAAAGAATATACCTTTCAATAAATTCTCATCTAGGTTTATAGTTATAAAAAATGGAATTCTTCAGCACAATACATTTTCAAATGGAGTATGACTGCTTTAAATTAGTCAGTGCTAAAATGAGTTACACACATAAGGGATTTGATGACGAGAGAAGGACAAATCCAATGATGAATGAGGCACAGTTTTTATTTTGTGAGAAGTTAGGGGAGGAGTAACGCTTGAACGCGTTTCTTCAAAGTGTAGAGATGAGATTCAATTAATAAAATAGGAATCTTTAAATGACTATATTAACACTGAATACCTTTGACCGTAGTTTATAGTTTATTTCGTTGAACTTCTTCAATCTGCGCGTGTTATGGTTTTCACCAATGGATCATCTCTCTCTTGGTTATTAAGGTATGCAAATTTCCTTTACCAGCATAAATCTGGTACTTTTATAGACTATAATTTGCTAAGAAGGCAGTGAGATAAGATAACATAAATTTATCATATTCATGTTCTTGCTTTGTTAAAAAAATTTTGAAGTGGACCAACTGTATGACATTACATATCCTTGTAGTAACACTGTACTGTATAATTTAACTAGAGTTCTTTTTCACTTGATCTCAATAAAAGATGAGTAAGAATAGTGTAAGTTAAAAAATATAATACGAACAACGGTAATTGGATAGTCCGAGAAGTGGCCGAATAAGCTTATTTCAAATAAACTTATCCCCTACTTTAAAAACCTTGGAAAAACATCGGTTATTTTTTACAGCTATATTACTGCACCTGCCTATTTTATGAAATGCTAAAGGAAATGTCAATCGGCAGAGAACTTTCAGTGACTACGCACGTAATATGAATAAAGGTGAAATTATAAAAGTTATAGAAGAGAGAAAACTCTCAAATTACTCAAATTTATAGCACAATAAATAGCTATCAGCGTACATGCTTTTTGTAAGAACATCTAGAAAACGGTGAGTAATAAACTAACCTCGGAAAATACAGAGTTTCCACGTGTACATTCTGTAGAATTGGCTTGAATCTGAAGTGCTTCAAACTGAGCTCGGGTATCGTTTAGTTCTGAACGACAATCCTTCAATAAAAATAATAAATGAAAGCAGAAATTCAAAAACAGTTTGTTTAATTAGAAATGAAGCTATTTGCAATGAACCATATGAAATGCTTCGTAAAACTACCTCTGATATGTACACTTTGTAAGTACTTCCCACTTTTATTAAATACGGTAACCTATTTAAGTTATGGTGCCAAGAAATGTACTGGTATTTAAGTATTACACGATTGGTTGAAATATAGGAGAAACCCATTAGTAAGCTTAAATCCTACTTTGATTACAAGTAGTTTAGGCAAACACAAGAATTACTATGCAGATGCAATTCTTAATTGGGTATAGAAATAAGGAGAGTGGAAAATTTGAGTATCACTTGGTGAAAATGTGTGTACTCAAACTTATGTACTGATTCGTTAGGGATTTTGTTCGCGATGTGACAGAGTAAGTTCTGTAGACTTATCACTTTTCATTAACGTAGGTATAAAATTTAGGGAGTGGTAGTATGATTCCATCTACTATTCACCAGAAAATAGTACTGTATTACTGTTGTATTATATCAAATAGACTAGTCTAATAAGAAATCACCTCTTTCAGTAAAATATAACTTAGTTTCTTCAACATGAATACGCTATAACAAAGAATTCACTTACACTTACCTTTAATTGACGAATTAGTTCATTTGCATACTCTTCCATATGTTGACGATCGCCTTCCAGCTCCTGAATTTGCAATTCTAATTTTGATTTCTCCATACGGCTAGAAGATTTTAAATCAGATAATTCGCTTTGCAATCGGTTAATTTCATCTCCTAACTCATCATTCACACCAGCATTGGTCGCACACTGAAAAATTACATATATGATCATAAAACTCACCTTAACATTGAGCACAAGCATCGTGAAGATAATAAACCATTTTTTCAGATCGAAAAGGCTAAGATAACAGGCATGAACAGCCAGTTTACAAGAAAACAAATTCCTTTCTCTTAAACATAACACAGGTGCGAAATACCAGGTTGGTGAATTATTATATGATGGAGACAGCGTGAAGATGACTTTAAAGATATTTTCAGTTACAAAGGTACAATTAAAAAGGCTAAGAATAATACAGTTTTGCAGAGGATTATATAATGGTTGATGACTTAAAAAACAAGTTATGCTACGAAGATGCATCTAACTGTATTCTGACATCATAATTTTCTTCATGATGACTACTAGTAGAATCCACATTTCCTGAAAAAAACCATGAATCAATGAATACATTGGTTGTAGGGTGAGCTGACAGCGACACGAATGAAGAAGCTCAGTCGATGATTTGGCGTTCATCGAAAACATTGATATTATTATCTTTGATTGTCATCACAACTGATGAAATGGCTAAAACCAAATTTTAAAACTCAGGGAACCCCAAACTATTGTCATCTTTATGAGCGATATGTCTCCTTTATAACCTCGAAGATATTCAATTTCCTTCCAGAGGAAAAAATGACGCAGACGCAACTGCTTCGCTGAGTGGGAATCCACCTATTGTGTCTTCAGTCAGAAAATTCTACTCTTTTAACAGCGCAAACCTTTGGACCGATCTGATTTATAAATATAATAAATATTTCCTGGATTCATAACTAAGCAATGTGTTAGTGTCGACGACCTTGAGTTTTATAACTCACTAACACCAGCCACCTATATAGTCGGTCGGGCTTGTTCATCACAATGACTGTACGAGCTACACTGGCTACAACGCTCATTCCCTTGAGGTCCTACCATGCCAGAAAGGTCTACTGGATAGTGGTAAGATGAAAAGCAGTTACTAGTATAGTGTAAACTGCTACATCATGATCGGTCTCCGAAGGTTATGGGTTGTGACAGCAGATGGGTTTCCCGTGCATGACTAGACTAGTGCTATCATGCTTATGCTTCCCCTCCTTGTGAGAACGAATGGCGGCTAGAAACGACTGGCCTTAAAATAGCACACTCCTATTTGCCCTACTGGTATCCCAGTGCTGATGGTATGGGTTTTCCTATCCGGCGCTAGAATAACCGAATTGCATACCAACAATCCTTAAGACTACCTACGACAGACTATAACCATATATCTCATGGAATCAACAGTCACACAAGTCTTTTTCACGCATCTTTTAGAAACAAATCTATGATGTAAGCAGCTGTGAGATGTCAATCACTTGCACGCTTCTAGTAGTATACAACAGCCAAACAAATAACCTATGCTCCCTACCTCTTTCTCTTCCTTTGCCTTCACCTTCTGATACCAGTGTAAAGCCCCCTACAACTTCCTCAACATCTCACTCTGCAATCATTTCTAACTATTAAAACCGTCGAAACCTCATTTCTAATCTCTCAGGACATCACTGTTTGTTCCAAATCGGAGTTCTCTACGTCCGGACTTTATGCCAAATCGGACAACAGGGATCGCATGCCAGAACTATCAGATCTCGGGTAATGAATATACGTTATTTTTGAGACATCCACACACACGAACCAAGTTTAGTTACTCGCTTGACCTCACCTGATCCAATCCGATGAATCTCCAATATTCAGTTTGCGAGCATCTGGAGATTTAACGGCTTTCTCTAGTGGACTCGCTGATATATGCATTGCACTACTTTTTACAGCGGAAAGCCCACTCCTCAACTGGATACCAGTAACAACTGTCCATGTGCAGTTCAATCGAATCGATCTGTAAGAACTAAGAAGGGTCGTGAGATTGGCTGGTATCTATTCGTAACCTCCGCCTACCCACCCATCGACTGCAGCTCGGATGATGCAAAGGATGAATTCTATTGACAACTGTCAACTTTGCTACAGAAACCAAAACATTTTAATGAAGTCATAATGGAATGCAACTCTAACGCTCAAGAAGAAAACCTGAGCAGATAAGAAAGACATTTTGGATATATTTGCGCAATTCCGTACCAACAAAGCGACAGGTGGTGATCGCTTGTCAAGATTTTATTCTGGTAATTACTTGTTTCCGGTCGGCACTTACCTTAAGCACAAAGAGAGACACAGTCTCACATGCAGTCCACCAAAATCAAACCAATGATAGACACAGATAGATCATATTTCTATAAGCTACCGTCTCTGAAGATTAGTAGAAGATTGCTGCCCTTTCTGTAGTAACTGACTGAACTCCAATCATGCGTTAGTGCGTGAATATCTGTGCCCCACTGGCTGCAGAAAACAGGCGGTAGTTAAGCCCGTGCACGATTGACTGGACGATAAATACGTCACTGGCAGCAGGATCCAGACATGCGCTTCTTCTTATTCTGAACTCAATGAGATCCACCTGCATCAAAGGGACTAGTCAAACATAACAGATGAGACTCTACCTACAATATGAACGTGTGCTTGGTCTGTCACTGAAAGGCATGCCTAGTAAGTACATCACGTTATTGAAAGCTCTCTACTCGAACACTTGTGGGCATGTTAGAGCCTATGGCGAGTTGTCCAGGGATCTATACTCATCAAGTGGTGTCCGTCAAGGATGCCCACTATCCCCATTCTTATTTAATTTTATCATAGATATTCTTATGGAGGTTTCCCTCTCGTCACCTGATTACACAGACGTTGACCCGATCACAGGTGAATTTTCTTTAGATCTAGAATATGCAGATGACATAGTCCTGTTAGGTGAAGATGCTGACAAGATGCAGAGTCTTCTGAACACTTTGAGTGGGAATTTGAGAATGTTTGGGATGCGATTTTCACCACCCAAATGCAAATTTGTGCTCCAGGACTGGTCTTCAGCGGTACCGCGGTTAACAATAAAGAGTGAAGTGGTCGAGTGTGTTGACCACTTCACTTACCTGGGAAGTAGGATCAACCCCGGTGGGTTAGTTGCCGACGAGATTTCTGCACGGATACAAAAGGCTAGATTGGCTTTTGCCAATTTGCGCCGCCTATGGCGCTGCCGTGATATTCGTTTGTCTATTAAGGGTCGCGTGTACTGCACAGCAGTCCGCTCTGTTTTACTATATGGCTGTGAAACATGGCCATTGAAGGTAGAGGATACAAAAAGGCTTCAGGTGTTTGACCACCATTGCCTTCGTAGTATAGGACGTATTCCGTGGTGTCACCATGTGAGTAATGCAGAAGTTAGGTGTAGAGTTTCGGGGAGAAGAGGTAAGTCAGTTGACGAGATTGTGAACCTTCATCGACTGAGATGGTTGGGACACGTACTACGTATGCCTAGTCACCGATTGCCTCGTCACACAATGTTGGCTGAGGTGGGTCCAGGTTGGAAAAAGGCCCGAGGTGGCCACACCAAAACATGGCACCAATGTATGAAGTCTCTGACTGTTGGTTTAAGCCATGTAGGACGATGCAGACTAGGTGGTTGGGGTCCACGGGACAAGAGGAACCAGTGGTTGGAGACCCTAGGTGATATGGCTCAGAACCGAAGTCAGTGGCGCAGATGTATACACACATTATCCTCATCTTAACAACGCTATACCGAATCTCACTATTTTGTCACTCCTCTTTCCTTTCTTCTCGTACTTTATATTTCTTTTGACTGCATTCACTTATCTTCATCCTTCACCTCACTACCTTTTTACTTGATGTGCTGATATGAGGTGTGGCAACTCGGACCGTTACGCAGTAATGCCTGGTCCTATGTTGATAATGATGATGATGATGATGTGCTTGGTTGCTGAGTGATTTTTGATTTTTTTTTCTAGATCTCATCACTTGTCACCTTTTTGTATAACCAGTTTACTTCTGCTAATATATTCATTTATTTTAATACCTTCCGAATTTCGTTGACCTACTCTTAATACTTTTTTGAGATGTACGTACGCTTTTGTGTAGGGTTTTACACTATGACATTTTTCTAACTTTAAAACAGGAAAAACGTCATAAAACATTGTTTCGCTGTTTTAGAACAGATACATAGGATATCAGTACATTTAAGTTAGCTCTACCTATATTACAATTCGTGGTAAGATCACGTAGGTATGAAAAACAATACAAGTCTCCTCCCATGCCTTGTAGTACAATCAAATCTTAGCAAATACTTTGATGGCTGGCAAGACTATCTGACAGAATTTCTTCAACGTAAACATATGCTGGTTAAAGACGAGTCAAAAACTTGGTTGTGAAAGGATTCGAAAAAGTAGCATACGAACTACCCTCTCCGGAAACCAAACACTTACACTCGCGCAGCAGGCAGTAAACCAAACCTATTGTGTAACTTCCATTGGCATATGGAACAAACCAATAATCCACCGAATGAAAGTCGATTTTGTGGACTGTGTCGCAATTCCAACTTCCTGATACTGAGCCGTAAATTTACCATCTACCGGGTAAAACTCTGGATTATTGAGGTGAATTTGAAACCTGGCTAGCAGCTAGGTTTCATATCTCAACTGGTAGATCATCAACTAAACAATTTGAAGACTTCTGGATTGAGTCTTGCCGCAACTTAATTTTCTGGTACAACTTTAATAATAATAAACATTATCCCTTTGAAAATATGGCCTTGCAAACGACGTAAAAATAATTCTAGGCGATCTTTCCTTTCGCCTATCTTTAAACGTAAAAATGACCAATAGACCAACCTCAAAAAAGCTATCCACTTTAGTTGTATAAATGTTTAACTGTTCTTGTAAATCAGATTCACGTTTTTTGGCCAATTCAACTTCCTTGGTTAGCGATGCTACTTTTTCTTCTGCTTGTTCAGCACGTGTTTCTAAGCTGCACAACAATGGAACACAATCGCCAGAGCATGAAACTGCTGGTGGCTTTTCGGTTTTTAATTCAGTAATAACCAATGTGAGCCTATTGATTTCGTCGATGTATTCCTGTTCCATCCAATTTTTCAATACTAATTCCTTAGATAAATCGTGTCTTTCTTGTAACAGTTCCTGTGGAATATATGAAAAAGGCATTCAATTCACGTTCGCATATTCCACTCAGTAAAGAATGACACATTGATGAGAGAAAACGATATCATTCTGATGATAATTTATTTTAGAAAATACTAATTCTTCTGATTATTCGCTGCACTACGTGTAAGAACATACACCGAAATTGATGAATAATGGAACACAAACAAAAGAGTACGAATTAAGTATAAATAATACAATCCATCACTAGTATTTACTATCGTATATCGTAACCACATTTACGACCTCAACAGTTCCACTTAACCAGTGTATGCACAAATCAACTTGCTTAATCATACGAACACCATAGGTAACATCATGACGGCAACCATTGGACACGAATTTCACCTGTATATGTAACCAATAACTAATGAATTTGTATCATCAAGAATTTTTTGAGTTCGAATACTTTAGTAAGATTCAGTTTACAATCCAAAAGAATACAGTTCTGTTAGATGAGTAGCACAAACTGAAAATAAATATCACTGAGTTAAGTAAACACTATATATGCTGAAGTAGTATGACGTAAATAAAATCAGATTAGCTCACTTTCCAATAGTCTAATGAATCTTCATTGTGAAGTTAACTCTGTTATTACTCTACAAATAAATATCGAAATACTGCATTCTGAAATAGCAAACCATACGTACTAGCCATTTGATCCAATAAAAGTCATAAACCTGGCCGAATACTTCCAGTGGGATTCCATAAAATAAAAAAAACTGTTACTCCCACTGAATTTCCTATCTGAACTTCTGTATTCAAAGTTGATACCAGTTCACACTCACTCCATAGTACTGCTATACTTAAGCAGTATTCTCACATTACTAGTAAAGCAATAAATATATACTTTATTTTATCCATCATATAAAAAAATGCAGTCTGGATCAACATTTGACTGTCAAAGCAATGTCTGAAATAAATCTGTTTACGCTTAACTGTAAACCCAAGACTAAGAGCAACAAAGTAGTAAGTACAATTCAAATGTAAGTTAAAAAGTATACACTTTTGTTGGAGCTATGACTGATATAGATTTTTTTTGTCAGATGTTCAGACAAACAGAATCAAAGTAGGACCTCACACACAAGTGCATCGGTTTAAGTTACCACACTTCACAGTAGTAAGCAAGGAACAAGTGGATAGAAAAAGAGTGATATCAAAGTAGACGAAGTCGTATGAGAGAATAAACAATTTCAAAATAAAGGTTAGTCTAAATGTTCGCTATAAAAATACCAAACTCAGTACATTACTCGGCATTCATAGTAAAGATTAACGATAATTACTTAATTGTTAGTTTTTGATAGTCCAGATAAAGATGTGAATGAAACAAAGGATTTCGAATTCCTAAACATCACTTTGTTTGCACATAAAGAATCATATACTTGTGAAGCATACATAGTATGATTCGCTGGGACTCGCGGTTGTAGCGTTGCTTGGGTTTTGATAGAGGTAAAGTAGATTATTTGTTAACTTCCAAAACTGAGTATTTTATCGAGTAATGCTTATTTGACGCTCATTATTCCATTTATCCATCCCAGTTTTACTCAGTGCCTTATTTTCTTAATCAACTTTCTCTGGTGTTAGGAAATGCATCCACTCAATACAAAGCAACAGTATGAAACGCTCTATCATTGCATTTAAACATCTGCAGTTTCGTGTGGACATTTCTTAACCTAGTGCAACGTTAATCTCAATAACAGTGAGTGTTCGTCATCTTTACTAAATTCTCATCAGAATGCAGTAATAGATACCTAGATCTAATAAGATACTTGGTAAAGACGATATAATACGACTCAGTTTTAAACGATAACTTACGTCCATTCTTTCGAAAATAAATAGGACAGTCTAACGCCAAGGATCTGTAAAAAGTCAAAAGGATATTGGAAATATTAAGGTATAGAATTCGTAATGAGATTTTTGATACAAGAATGATCCTAGAGAGTTAAGATATTTTGTATAGTGATAATAGAGCATTTTGATTTGACATATTCGTACACATAATAAGCAGTATAAATAATATTTTGCTTTCATCCGTAGTATTTAAATATAACCAGAGATTATCGTAATGCAGGCAAAACGACGTAGAATCCCACTCATAAGTCGCCACAAACAAGCATCACTAATACAAGACCTGGTACTTCTGCGTAAGATTACTTTTTCTTAGATGTCTCATTAGTGAAAAGAATCGATGGATCTATCGAAAGGTCGACCTATAGAAAATCTTTATGAACAGGACAGTATCCTTATTTCAGAAGCTTTGTAAAGATCCAATACAAAATGAATGTAGTCGAAACACTGTTAAGTACAGTCAGAAAAATTTGTCTTGATAGTACACTAGACTACGAAATTGACTTAGAAAAACATGTTAGTGAAGAATTGGTACAAGCACGCAAAATGGACAGGAAGCAGAACAACGTCCTAACAGTGCAGGAAAAGCCAGTGTATATTCTTTTGCCATTCAAAGGTGACGACGTGCTAGAAGCAGTTAGATGAAGACTGGAAAAGTCTATCAGAAGAACTTATAATGCTGCTAATAAACTCGTCCTACTCAGCACCGCCAAAAGGGTACTATAGCAATCAGAAAAAGACGACTACGATCCTCAACGCATCTAAATCCATATATCAATTCGAAAGTACCTGTGGAAGCAAATACATTGGTTATACGAATGGTTAAGCACCTACCCAAATGGCTGAGGCATACCGAGAAGACCCGGAGAAGCTCGATAACAAAACACCTAATGGATTACGGGCATGACGTTATCTTAAAGTTTTTTACGGTACACAGCAAAATAGGAAATTGCTTGGAATTACAGGAACCTGAGCGATCCAAGCTGTCAAGCCAAAACTTCTGCATTCGGAAGGAAATGGTAGTCAGCTTTAGCCTGCCATGGTAGGAGTTACAATGTCGTCCAATCATATTCATTCTTCCTTACTTGTTCTTCGCTCTTAATTACCACCTATCTTATATTTTTGTTTTCATTCCTTGATTTGTTTCGCCTAATTAACCTTATCCCTATTACTATTGTTGTGATCACTGTTATTCATCTCAATACATACCTGGATTCTTATGTCTGCTTGAGTACTATTAAGTATCTTGTTTTGAATGACGTAACCTACGCTTAATCGATCCAGTTCTTACCCACATCATTATTATTGTTATCACTATTTCCCTAAGTGAAATCCACTTAGATTACACTATTATCCAAACTCATAGTTAACGTAACCTATCCCCAACCCATTCAATTTTGAACATCCATTTCTACCCCTTGCATCACCGATTGACCAGCTGACGATTACTACTGAAATTTAGGTAAATAAACTAATTGTCAGAAAGATGTTTGGAATTTCGAAAATAGAGTAGGTATATTAGCGTCACGGAGATCAGTTTTCAGCCGCTGAGTCAACCTTGCGGAGTAAACATTTATTGCAACTGAAATCGGTGCATACGTATGTATTCGGCTGTGAACCACACTAAATATATCCGGTCGCGCAGACCACGGTAGACTGAGTGTGATTTCGACCCAGGATTTATTGCTTGAAAGCTGAATGCTTAAGTTAATGAGACCCACCACCATAAAATCTCTGAAATCCTTTTCATATCATAAAATAACTTAAAGTAGTAATCTGAAAAGTTACTAGAAAAGTTGGATGAATAACTCAGGGAGACCATAGACGGCGATAAACGACAAGTCAAAAACTACTGAAGAGAAATAATCTCCTACAAAGTTTTCCATCTCGAAGATTGGAATATGAACCTCAAAAGTCATGAGACCAACCCCTAACAGAAACATCTGTTTGAATAGGTTATCTAAGAAATAACACATGCGGATAATTATAGGGGAAATCAGAACCAAAAAACATAGTTTATGAATTTTCACTTCCACTGGAGAAAGTATTGTGGACGATGAGTCAAAACCACCTTTAGCTCACACTGTTAATCACAGCAAAACGAAATCCTTATGAACCTCCGCATCACTAGGCGGGAGCAAAGAGACTGGAGTTTACGTTACTGGGGTAGTAAGTAAGCTCAACTACATTTCAAAGTGCTTCGCTGAGCGTTACAGGCGTCCACGAAAGTTGGTGACCAGCTGACCACCTACTTCGTAGACGTTCTCACTGACGTCAGGCTTATTGTCAACGGCGGCTTTCCGAACACAAATTCTATTTGATGCATCGCGTAAGAGACTTACGCACACCATTGTACTCGCTCTCTACTTGAAAACAGCAAAGTGTCTAGAAGTTGAAGGAGTTCATCGATAGCTACTCCTTACACACATTTCACTCACTATTCTCATGGTATCTTGTAGGTGCAGCCAAGACTCATCTTTACTTCCTGCAGCTTTGACAGCTAGTTTTGAATCTAGCCCACTTTGGTATTTAGTTGCTATACAAAGAGCAACCGATTCGTCCACATCGATCTGTCAAAGATGACAACTTTGGTGACCATCAAAATGCAAGATGAACCTAACCCAGACACGTTTATACACTAAGGTGCGATTAGAGTTGTGACAGGTGCTTCAGGAGAAGCAACAGTCCGAATACAACTACACCTTCAACAGTCAATTGCGACGTGATTAATTGGAGTTCAGGTTTGAGTGGCAAAAAGAGGTCACTAGGCAGCACAATGGCGATGGGTGTGCTAGAAGTTGACACTGGTTGAAAGTAGGTTGTGACATACGTAAAGCTGCAGATGTTCCTCACTATCTGACCTATGACCGACTAATCTCCGCTGGTGACATGAACGATCCTACTTGGGGCTAGACACTCGACCTGTTCACTGCAATATATACCGATCATACCTCGCAAAGAACGTCACTCAATTGATGGTAGAACTCATGTCCAACTGTGCCCACGTTGCAGTCAGTTGGAGCATATGCAGAGATGACGAGGAGATACAGTTTTCCTTTACCAGTTACTTCTCCCTGTAATCGAGCCTCTCAGTCTGACAGTACACAAACGATTGTTGACGGGACCTAGTCTACTAGAGAAGCTCCGGACCTAGCACTTAATGCGACACCAACACCAGGAAGACCAGCTGCTGATGTCACAGGTTTTCTGGACTACCACACGGTAAATATAAGCTGGGAAATTGGGTTGTTCGAAGAATTTCACTAGGATCTTGTATGCGTGTTTCTGAAATACAGTATACATCGACAGCGAGGTTTTCTAGAGTTCTTTTTGCTGCCCGATTCACGTCAAGATCTGAACGTTGAAATCAGCCTGTCTTAAGTTAACGTGGTTTTTAGAATAGTTGAATCCGATACCACGTTGCAGTTTTCTGGAAAAAACTGTTTGTCGACTCAAATTAGTGCTGATAGAATGGGATTTTAATCAGTGATAAACAGCTGGGTGAAACAAAATCGAGAGAAATACATCTGAAAATGTAAACAAAAGCAACGACTCCTGTGTAAAACATTTGGAGCTGTGCCTCAATGGTTCAAAGAGACGACTGTCAACCAGGCCACGGGTTCGAGCCCCAGTCCACCAACCGAGGTTTGGGTAGCCCTCGCGAAATAGGTATGGCTCATTGCATACTTCACGAATATGCACAAGGTAGTTCAGTGAGTATCTTTCCCTAACGTAAAAATAACGATATGAAGATGAATTGAGCAGAAAGTTCATTACACAGTGAATTTCGTTTATTGCAGAACTTGGTGTGTGCTTTGTTGTCTTCGTTGGTATTGTTGATTAACAAACTGCAAGTGGGCCGTGATACTTCCCAAAGGCCTAGATCGATGCAGATCTTGGTCGAAAGGGAATCAAACCCCGAGCTTTTGACTACTGGTCTAACCCACAAGTCAGTGAAGCTACGTCTGGTGTTGCATTTCCATGATTACCGTGACTAAGGTACGTTTATAAGCCATTCATTTGTTCTGCACCATGGAGACAATATGCATCACTGGTTTAGAGTAAGAGTTTACCAACTTGATAGTGTCAAACATCTGTTTGAATCTCTTGTGTCAGAACAACTTCCGTCCTGTGAAACTAATGAGTACGACTTGGTATCAGACGTTATAAACGCACAACTGAATAACATCATAATGACAAGATAACCAGGACCACCATGCTTGGTTATATCAGGGAATTTGTCGAGCCAATTCCTTTGTGGTCAGTACATGATTCCTCTCCTTTCAGAATAAGAAGTGAAATGTTCTCAGTAACTGCGTGCATAGTCATGCAGTAAGCAAAGAGCCACACCTATTGTGCGAGAACTGGTCATATCGCTTGGCCACCCAAATCTGGGTAGGTGGAATAAGGGTTGGAACCTGATACACGTCAGTTGGAAATCAAATGCCTGAACCAAAGAGCCACAGTTCCGTTCCACTCTCGAAGAGTAAGACAACCAGCAATTTTGACCAGTCATATCTCATTCCCATAGACCAGCTAAAAGTCGATTCAATCTAGTTAACAATCATAAGCTACCACTTTTAAACATCTCTGAGACAAACCAACAGGGACCTACTACTCTTCCCTTTGACTTACTGATAGCTCTATCAAGTTCTCCAAGACTTCTAGGTCCAATCTTAATTTCCCACTCAGGATGTGACAAGATAGCAAGTAACTGGAGGTTATTTAAACTGCTATCATATGATTTTTGTTTCTTAACGTGTGGGACAGTCAGCGACTGAGACCATATCTGATTCTAATCCACCACCGATTTAATGTCTTGATTGTCGATTTCGATTCATAGATAGTGTGGTTTGATAGCGGCTAGATGCCAAAGCAGAAGTAGAATATCCCCCTATATGTATTCCTTATTCTTCTAATTACCTACTGCTCACTTTCTTCTATCTTATATCTTCTAAGTTATCATTAAACTGTTATTACTCCCTGCTGTTCGGGGAACCCTCATAAGATCTGAGGCCTCCCTAATATCCAGAAGCTAACATAAGGAAATAGGTTGGGAAAACTCAGTGAAATCTAAGGCTTGTGAATTAAGAACGACGACTAACAAAGTGATCTCAAAACTGCCAATCGGAATTACAAAAAGCTGAAGGTATTAAAAATTAGATGTTCACACGAAATAATTCGGACACGGTTTGTGGCCATGTTAAGGTTATATTAAGGTTACAGCTGAAGTTACTGAGTTTCACACATAGCAATTAAATGTTTTTCCCAGTTAATATCCTGGCTGTGAATATTCAAGCCATCTTACTTAGTTAATCACTAACAAATGAAATTAAACAGGTTGTTTCAGATAAATTGGTAGTTTACCAGTTTTTGGTTGCTATTCTTTTTGTTGCAGAGTATAAATAGGTAGACAGGCTAAAGACAGTCATGTCTGTGATGCAAGTTAGCAATTTCCGACGAATGGTAGTGAGAGGTGAACATAATAGCCACAGCTGTACTTAAGTCGCTTATGCCTGCTTTTCAAAACAAACTTAGCATTTCATGATAAAGAGCATATTTATTTTAGTGCTGCAGTATTTTTTTAAGTTATGTGGCTCCATATAATGAAACGATATATAACGGTTTTGGGTGAATTCAGAAAAGGAATCGTGCAAGCTTTAGGAAGAGAAATGGAAAACCTCTGAGACACAACATGTAAACAGAATGATTTCCAGCATCAGTAAGCTTTGAAGATAGTGATACTGTCAGACCTATTCTAATACTTTCCCGAATACAAAGTGTTATGTTCCCTCCCTTACGACTAACGACTATACGTCCCTATGCGGGTAAGTCTTGGCATAAGTGCTGTAACGTCCACACACTGATAACCATGTTTCTGTTACTGCTACCAACTAAACCTCCCAATTTAGATAATTTATTCCTGAGATATAGGAGTTAGTTATGCTACCTGTGCATTCTCCCAACTTATGAACAATGCCCTCGGCAACATTGACTGCCGAGAACTCCACCTGAAAACTCACTATCTTTGGGTCTTCCTCGTTTTCCTGCCAGGTCTTCAGTTTGACCACAGTTTGCCTTTTGCCTATCTTTTCCTCAGAACAATTTCACGTTTGTCGGGAGCACCCAGCATAACCGTGATTGGTAACCTTTTCCACTTAGCTAGTCTCTACACCACATGTCTCATGGTGTGATAGGTGTTGTATTGCTGGTACAACAAGTTGCAAGTTATGAGTGTCACTCATGTATCTGAGTCTGTCGACTCCATCAAGTTCCAAAATGTTACACTCCAGTCTGACTTTGATTTTAAATACAGTACTTACAGCCTTTTGCACCTGGTTGACGTCTCTACACACCTGAGTGTTCGTTGGTCTTTTTTTAATAGAAACATAAATCCACTTGGACTCGGATGTTATCTGAAGCATTACATTAGGTCAGGTCGTGCAGTGGGTGAATCAGGATTGCTCATAACGGAATGACTAACAGGTCCAACAGCTAATTTCATGTTTTTTCCTAAGCCTACAGTCTTCAGAACAGGTGCCTGCATGTCTATACCCATTTCGAGAATCACGTCATCCCTACCAACTCCCGCTTCCAGACTGACCATTCTTTGAATTGACTTACTGTCTATGACACTGGATGTGTCATCATCAGACTTCAAACACAACATTATCGGTAGCGTTGCGAGTCTTCAAGAGACCACATCGTAAACAGCCTCGAATTAAATCATCTAGTGGTTTGCAACAGAAGTTGCGGTGCCAACAGAGACAGGTTTACTGCGCTGTTCATAACCTATGGGTATTGGTACAGTACACAACTGGTGCAACCAACTCCCATAGCTATCATATTGTATCCCCGTTGGTGGTACGCCGCTACTCCCAGTTTTTGAACTGAAAGACTTAGGTGTCATCATAAACCATGATTTGAAAACTTTGGCACACTGTAATCTGACTGCAGCAAAGGGCTTTCGTGTATTGTGGTCCATCCTCAGGGATTTTAAAAGTTTTGATCAGGATATGTTCGAAATATTCTATTCTACTTACGTTAGACCTCACTTGGAATACTGCATTCAGGCGGCCAGTCCTAAAAGGATGCTTATATACTCGAAAGTGATCAAAGGGTGGGTACGAAGCCTGTGGGAGGCCTTTCGAATCACCTGTATAAGTAACGACTAGACCAGCTAAACTAATGCCTGCTGTTTTGCCTTAAACGGAGTGACCTCATATTGTTGTTCCGTATTTTTATTAATGACTTCGATACTGATATGCTCTACCTTTTCTTTACTGCTAGAATTGATTATTTTCGAGGGCATCACAAGAAAATCCAAATACAGAGATCAAATCAACTTAGCGCTTCTTCCATCGTGCGGTCAACGTCTGCAAGTCCTTACCTCACCAGGTAGTATCAGCACCCTTGGTTAACGCGTTTAAGGAGTAACTAGGTCTTTACATGGATATCTTCTGCAAGAAATAACATAAGCTAACAGGCCTACTATCTTTATGCTGAAAAATGACACTAAGATCTTTCAACCTGGTTGACCATAATAAAAACATTTAAAAGGTAAAATGGATACCAAACACTCAATCCAAACGAACACACCACAAAGCAAACACTATGTAGAGCATGCGATAACGATAAACTAGTGTTTCCAGTTAAAGCTAACTACAATGGCTTATGATGCAGAGAACACAAAATTAAAATTAATTTAAACGTTAAGAGGTCTGTAATGATGATAAAGACTTGTAGCTCAGGATGAGGATGATGGTGGTTTGATGCTTTCTGGATTTTTATATTTCATCACTAGGCTTAGTGGCATCTTCAGCACCAACTTCTTTATGAAGTACGTGTTGTTAAGACTAAGTAAGTGGAAAAGGTTACCAATTCACGGTTATGCTGGGTGCTCCCGACAAACGTGAAATTGTTCTGAGGAAAAGATAGGCAAAAGGCAAACTGTGGTCAAACTGAAGACCTGGCAGGAAAACGAGGAAGACCCAAAGATAGTGAGTTTTCAGGTGGAGTTCTCGGCAGTCAATGTTGCCGAGGGCATTGTTCCTAAGTTGAGAGAATGCACAAGTAGCACAGAAGTGTTATATCAAATCTACTAGGTGCTTTGGTGGTACTGGAGTTCAGCACCTATTACTGAAAAACGTGAACAATTTCAGGACAAATAAGCTGTTAACGCAAATAACATCAACAACAGAAAAACGGACAAAAATTTAGCTGAATCAACTGTAATACAAAGAACTTGGTACTTTTCTCACCACTAACGTTGCGCTACCACTAAAGCCGTCCTAGGAGTCAAATTGAACAAGCGCTAATCAAGTAAACAGGCAAGCACCGCGCCGAAGAAGTCCCAAAGAACTCAACGTGATACGGAAGTAGCAAACTCAAAGTTGTTCAAATGTTATCCTATAAAATTAGAATAACATTCGAAGCATTGAGTTGCTGCAAGTCAGATTCTTACTATGGTTCTCAAATAAGCACAATAAACAAAAGTTAATTGCGAACGCCTTCATTGAACATATTGGACGACCATTTCAATGACCTTGAAAATGTTAGCCTTAGTTTCGACCCCAACAGAAACTTGTTGCATACTTCAAAAATAAGTGTTACAGCTAAATTTTGAGCCCTTGTCATCTCTTTTCTAGCCTAGCCATGCCCATACCGAAGGTTTGCATCATATATTCGTCCATGTTGATGGTGATTTCGGGTTCACTGAACTATCAGGCCACATTTCAGATCGAAAGCCCATGCGCAATGTTTCTTTTCCTTCACCGACATGACAGGCACCCTTCTATCTAGTGTCAACGTAGGATAACTACGGAAAGGGTGCCATGAAATTTGCAACTACCCGATACCAGATGAATGCCAGAGATGTGTAGCGTCATACACTTCCCCAAAATCAATAGCCTAGGGTTTGACGACTTCGACATTGATGCTGACCTTGATAGTTTAACTGGACTCGCTAAGCTGAAGGCACCCGGTCAAGCATCCTCGCCATTTGGCACGCTGTCGTGTTACGTTGCATTGCTCGTATTCGACTCTCTAGCCAGTTAGTTGGAACGCATCGGTATTTTGGCATAACCATCCAAATATACTATTCCATCCGACTACGCTATCGTGTTCTTCCTTGGTCTCGTATTCGTGGGTATATAACAAGTTCGAATAATTAGTGATTGGTCTTTGCGTCTGTCAAGTTCGCACCAGGACAAATCCTAAATTGGTGAGCCCGACGTGATCACGTGATCACATATCCCGACCAATAACAAGTATTGAATTGGTGAGCCTGTTCCATTTTATATTTGTTTATTGTTTTCATTTCGATAACATTTATATATCCATTTACTACACTTTCTCATGTCCGACCACACTCCCAAGCTTATTCGTATTAAGCCGACTACGAACACGATCCAACTCGTGCCATATTGGCCAGACAATGCAGAAACATGGTTTCTGTATGCCGAGGCAGATTTTCGAGAACAGGGTGTCTCAGATCCTCATTCTCGATTTCTTGCTGTCATACGTTCACTACCGCGAGAATTAAACAGGTATGTTACAGCAAACATGTTTAATCCTGAAGTAAGTGACCCTTATGCACTTCTAAAGGCCGCACTCTTGAAGAAAAGCGATCTCACAGATCGCCAACGTCTAGACGAATTGTTTCGTAACATCGAGCTAGGCAGCCACTCAGCTACTGAAGTCCTCGCACGCATGCGAGAAGTAATCGGTGCACGAACATTTGACGATGGTTTCTTCCGAGAACTATTTCTCTCGAAACTACCACAACCGGTGCAAACCGTGTTGGTGACACTCCAGTCAGTCCCACTCGACGACCTGGCAGCCTCAGCAGATAAAATACTGGAGATATCCAGCAGACCAGTCTCCAACGTATATTCTATCTGCGACAAAACAGAGCGCCAGGATTCAGAGGTGACCAAGTTGTGCAACTCTGTGAGACGGTTGCTACGATCTCGAAGTCCTAGATCACGTAGCACTTCACGGAAACGCACCTTGGCGCATCGCAGCAAGTCGTGTGGTAGCCCTAAAACGAAACCCAACAGGGTGGAAAACCCTGAATGGTGCTGGTTTCATAACACTTACGGGGATGAAGCCAGAAAATGTCGTAAACCATGCCGTTTTAAGAAGGACCCGAACTCGGGAAACGGTCACGCCGGCACGTGCTCACGGCAACCGTAGCCGGCGGAAAAAGCCGTTTGCTCTACGTCACGGATATTAAAACGAAAGTCCGCTACCTCGTCGACACCGGCGCAGAAGTTAGCGTTCTTCCAGCAACGACAAAGGAGCGTCATCTTGACCCATCCTTCAATCTTCAAGCAGCCAACGGCAAGGCAATCGCGACATTCGGGAGACGGTATGCCTACCTCAACTTAGGTTTACGCAAACCTATCCACTGGATTTTCCTCCTGGCAGACGTCTCTATGCCCATCATTGGCATAGATTTGCTAAACCATTACGATCTACTCGTAGATGCTCGCCGTCGACGACTGATAGATAACAGCACAAAGTTATCCATTGGCGGCACCACCTATGTAGGTCCGAGTTTAGCCATCGTTAGGACTAAACAATCAGACGACGCGTCCTACCAGGCAGTTCTGGAGAAATATCCAGAGTTACAGCAACCGAAGCACACTCTTCCGTGCATAACCAGCAATGTTATGCATCACGTCACAACCACAGGTCCACCTGTGGCATCCAAAGCGCGCCGTCTAGCCCCCGATAAGCTCCAAACGGCGAAAAATGAATTCGACCACATGCTCGACCTGGGCATTATCAGACCGTCGAACAATCCTTGGGCATCGCCATTGCACATGGTTCCCAAAAGGATAGCAGTGACTGGCGTCCAACCGGTGATTACCGAAGGCTCAACGCCAAAACAACTCCGGACTCCTACCCGATACATCAATACAAACCCTCGTATACTTTGCCTTTTTATATCAATTTTTATTTACCATGTAATGAAATTTTAAAAAAAACGGTAAAGATAAGCGTAAATTTTTATTTTTCGATATGTTGATATATAAATAATTCCCATTTTTACGCAACGTTTTCGTGGTATTAAAGACTTTTATTTATATTCCAGGTGCAACGAGCACTGGACGGAACGTCGAAAGGAACAGATGACCGCGACCGACGTACAATTCCATTTATTGTATTTTATTTATTTAATCGCCACGACACCCTAGAATAAGGTTCAGACAACCAGGGGCCACCTCACGCAGTCAGCCCATCGGAAGAGTTTTACCAGTGGAGAAACCACTGGGTTTTTACTTCCGGCTGGTATCGTCTTAGGGTCCTCACGAACCCACTAGGGGGGGAGTGATCTGTAGCGTCATACACTTCCCCAAAATCAGTAGCCTAGGGTTTGACGACTTTCGACATCGATGCTGACCTTGATAGTTTAACTGGACTCGCTAAGCTGAAGGCACCCGGTCAAGCATCCTGGCCATTTGGCACGCTGTCGTGTTACGTTGCATTGCTCGTATTCGACTCTCTAGCCAGTTAGTTGGAACGCATCGGTATTTTGGCATAACCATCCAAATATACTATTCCATCCGACTACGCTATCGTGTTCTACCTTGGTCTCGTATTCGTGGGTATATAACAAGTTCGAATAATTAGTGATTGGTCTTTGCGTCTGTCAAGTTCGCACCAGGACAAATCCTAAAGATGGATCAAAACTCATCCTCATTATAGACGCGGGTGCCATTGCTTTTCCAGATCCACCCGTATACAGAGACACTACATCTATTTTCATCCGGCTTATAGCTAATGACTGGAATGAGGGCGTGGATGGTAGTTACTCAGCTTCCAATAACGAACGAAGTTTATCTGAAACATGTGATATATTATTGCGATAGAGTTTCAACAGTCTGATCACACATGGACTTGTCAAACTATTTGTATGAAAATTTACGAAAAGGGTCAATGAAGTTAATGGGAAACATGGGAATAAGAAGTGCAGAGAAAAAATCTTGATCACTTTACTCTCGGTATGAAAATCAGAACCAACACTACCAGAGTAGGTTCACTGTGAGTACAAACTGCTTTTGTATGCACAAAGAGGGTTTGGATTTATGGATGGCAAGAGCCTCAATAAGTTTAAGCAATTTGCTCTGACCACTTTTATTTAGTACTTTAAAGGCTGTTTTCACGTCTATGGTCAGTTTCTAGTATATGTTTAGCGATAGACGAAGATGGATGTCCGTCGCCCAGATTTATTGGATCTGTTAAGGTCATTTATTTTTGAAGCCACTTAGGTACATGTTCAACCACCCATAACTGCATATCGCGATAACTCCCCCCTATGTATGAGTGTACACATACATGTAAACTGGCAAACACATTGGGATGCAGTGAGATCGTTTATATGCTGTTTTGGTTTGTGCTGTAACACGGACTCTGTCTTCTCCACGACGATGACCTTGGCCGCCTAGTCTGCTCTACAGATGGCCCATCCAAGTGTTTTCCTCATAATAAAGCTTTGTGAATAGCCTCCGAATCTTAATGAGATGTTCGACAAGTCTACATGTGATCAGATCGTTTGCTATGTATTGTGTTAATACATCATATGTTTCAGACAACCTTCGTCTTCGCATTACGTTGTTTAAACGAATTAAGTGTCAGAATGGTCCACTTTTTTCCTCCTCATGTGATTATAATGGACAAATTTGGTTTCAGTACCGTATTCAACTTCCTCCAAAGCTGCCTACGCCCGTTACTGAAGATCAGATGGATGGCCAGGAAGAATAAGCAGCAAGGAGGTCTCATCGCACAACATACCAACCAAGAACCTACCGCACAACAAGTATGCAGAAGAAAGTGGAGATGGATTGGGAGTACACTGAGAAGGCCGATTGGGGACATCACGCGCCAGGTCCTCGAGTGGAATCCAAAGGGGAAACGACGAGTTGGGCGTCCGTGGCGAGGGTGACATGGGGGAGATCATGTGAGGAGGAAATGAAAGCTTGTGAGGAGACGTGGAGTGAGGTTCAAAAGACTGCAGAGAAGGGAATGCAGTGAGGACGTGCTACCGATAATAAATAACAATAACTATGTCTAACACTGTTATCGAAACGCCACAACTTGTCACGTGTTTCCAGGGTGTACAAGAATGCTTGCACATCTAATAAAAGCTTAGGAACAGGTGGCGCCTGTCTCACCCGTGAGAAGCGTGGTGTCTATAAGGTGCCCACTCTTTCTTCGACTTCGTCCATGATATCATTTCAAACTTCCAGGTAGAAAGTAAAACAGCACTAATCATGGGTATTCCAGAAGTATATTCCCATTCAAGAAAGTTTGAGGGGGGATACAAACCTGAGTGGATAGCACCTACTTGATGTTGATCTGGAGTATGGAGACGCCGAATATTGTAGTCTTTTAAGTGTTATGCACGCGATGTAATCCTGAGCGCATCCTTCGTCCGAAAGACTCACTCAGAATATTTCGGCCGTGTGAAAATGTTTTGTTATGGTAGAATAACTCTATCTGGATACATACTATGTTTTTTTGTTGAGAGTAAAA